GACGGCCAGCTCTGGACTGGCCTGTAGTAAGTGGGCAATATGGGGCTGCTGTTGTTTGAGCAGAGCGCGGTTGACAACCTTGTTGAAGATGGAATCCGTGCCCACGGGTCGAAACTTGCCGTTGGCTTTCTCCAGGATAGTGTAGTTGATGGAGCAAAGGGCATGTCGAATCGACTCGGGTACGGTGTTGTTGGCAATGTGGTGAAAGATCTTGTTCAAGGCAACCTGAGGACCTCCAGTCGCGGTGGTGGGGCCCTGAGGCGCGTCTCCATCAGAAGGAGCAGTCAAATCGCTGGTAGGACCCTGGCGTGGGCCCAAGACTTGACTGAAGTGCTCCTTGATGCGGTAGATGGAGGCAAGAAGCTCACCAGACCAACCATAGGGGTCGGTGACACCCTTGGTGGCCGCCAACGCCTTGGGGAGCTCACCCTTGGTGAAAGACACGGTTGGGGAGCTCACAGCCGTGGCTGGTGCCAGTGTAGACGTGGAGGCGGGTGTCGAAGCAATGAACGGGGTCAGCCCGGGCGGTACCAAGAGGTCGCGCACGGCCTGAACCTCAGAATTACCAATCACGGCACGAGCCTTGTCGGCATCAAATGCTTTGGCAATCTGACCTCGGTTCAGACGGTTCGTGACGTGGTTTGCCCAGGCTTCGTCCGCCAGGTCCGGGTCGCGGACGAGCGACCTGAGGCTCTGGTCGACTGCGTCGTTCGGGTGGGCGCCCGCGCCGGCGTTCAGCTGTCCTCGACGGCTCTGCTTGCGTGCGACTGCCTTGCGCATGGCGTCCACGACCCGACCTAGTTGCCCCGTCACAAGCCAACGGAGACGATCGTGAAACATATTGCGCAGGTCAATCGTAGACAGTGCGGTCGAGGGAGCAGACAACAACATGCTAGGCAAGGCCAAAATCAAAGCCCAGCACATCTCTCGCTCTTCAGCGGTATAGTCTGAATGGACGGCAGACCAATACAGCTGGCTCAAGGTGGCAGCCATCAGCTTGGTCTCGGTGGCGTTGGATGGGTAGCGGCTGCGCTGCATCAGTGGATGCCGGGCGAGCTTGAGCAGCTCGCAGACACTGATGCGAGACCCTACACACTGTTGGGGCCAAGCGCCACGCATAATCTCAAGCAGGTCGTGTCCAGCCGCATGAAACAACGCCTCGGTCGCTCGCTTCAGATTGGCACCACATCGGGAGCGGTGTTGACTGATACCAGTAGCTTCGAAGAAGAGGTGACACTTGTTGCACTGGGCGACCAATTTGGCCTCCATCACCTGCTTGACCAGATCAGTGGCTTGCTCGTCGTAGGGGTGCTCGCGTAGTACATGATTGACCCAGGCTTTGCGGTCAAGGCGGGGCCCCTTGCATTTGCAAAGCCCAAATGGGCAGGCGAGGAGTTGCCTGTGGCCAGATGTCTTCAGCAGGACCTTGCGCTGGGCATCCAGCACGTTGGCAGCGATGGACGGAGCGGGATCGCTGAGAAGAACATCTTGCTCACTCTCACTGTGTTCGCTCGCTGTATTGTGTGTTTCACTCTCACTGACTTCGCCAAGTGGGGCTGAGTTTGTATGCTCACTGTGTTCGACTGGATGTGAAACGGCAGCGGGCAAAATGGCAGAGGCAGGGGGTGAAGCAGAGGGCGGAGAGGGATCGGAATGGGTTTGTTGTGTACCCGATGGATATGGCAGCACCATTTGAGCGGGTGTAGATGATTGCACCAATGGCTCAGGCGTGGCACTGCCGTTTGTGTCACCGGCACCATCATGCGCGGCAGGGGCGATAGGGGTGGGCGCGCGGAGTGCGGTGGAGCGAGGAGGGGAGTCGCTTTCGTCCGAAGACATGGTCAAAAAATCCGATGGTGTGTTAGGAATCGAATGATGTGTCTGCCCTGTGGACTCGGGCGAGGGTTGCTGCTCCCCGCTGCCATTTGGCTCAGAGGGCACCGATGCTGACAAATCCTCGGTCACAGGGGCCGAAGATGTGGCAGTGGCGGCGGGAGGCATTGCCGCAGCAACTTGAGCAAAGGAGCGAGGGCTGGATGGCGTGCGAGGGGTGCGGGGAGAAGCATTGGAAGTGTTTCCGAGGCTGGGATGTTGCTCCCCACCGCCGTTTGACGTCCTGGTCACTGGCTCGGCCGCGGGCACGACGGCACGTGCCGAAGACTCGGTCGCACCGGCAGCGGGGGACGTCGAGGGCACATGAGACGAGGCACGGGCGGTAGAGGCAGAGTGGCGGGCGTGAGGGCGAAGCGGGGTGGTCATGGGGTCAGGGAAAACATGGTTACGGTCGTGGCGAGCGCTGCCATGTTTTGTGTGTTTTGCAGAACGATGAGTTTGGGAAGGCGAGGTGGTGGTGTTGCTTGGAGGTGACTCGGCACTCGGGCGTTTAGCACCGCGGACCTGGGTCCAAGAATCCTCGCCGCCGGACTCAGTGGCCATGTCCGCGGGGCAAGCAAGCGAGCAAGCGAGCGGACACGGTGGGAGCGAGGGCGCCGCCAAAACGCGGGCCGCAAAGAGCGGGGTTGCAGATTTTATCTGACAACGTGGTTCACGCCAAGATGTCAGAAAAAAAAATGGAAAAACTCTGATCGTCCCTGCGGCGATGACGACAACCGGTGGGTTCGCCTCCTCCTTTGTGGATCTGCTTGGTCAGCTTGCCCGCTGCGCCGAGGCCCGTGGTGTGTACCAGCCGGGGCTGGATGAGGCCTTTGTTCCTCGGTGGAAGGGTCGCTTTGCGGCGCTGGTCCATCAGATGAACGCTGACCACATCCAGCGCCACTTTGGCGGTGTCTGCCTGCGCTCGTCGTAGGTAGGCACCGTCTCGGGGGTCCCTCTGTGGGGATCCCTGTGTGCACCTGTCGCTCCCAGGGTGGTTCCTCGTTGTGATCTTTTCATGGCTTGACTTGTTTTTTTGTTTTAATTTTGCTTAATTTTTAATGTATTTGTGTGGTATTTTTGCTGAATTTTTGTAAGGTCCTTTGTATGATGTCTCTTCCTTCTGTGGTCGGTTGCCTTTACAACCCGACGCTGTCTCTTGTTGTATGTGAGCGTGCCGTGGTGTTCTTTGTGTTCGTGCTGTGATGGCTTATTTTTGTGATGTGTGACTGCCTTTTTGTGTGTCTAATGTTTGAAATGGCCGTATCTCTGGTTATACTTGGTAGTTTTGTACGATTTTTGTTTCTATGTGCGTGATTCTTCGCGCTTGTACCTCTTGGCATGATAGAAGCCAATGAATGTACCTTGTTCTCTTGTGTTATTTTGCGTGCCGTCGTGATTTTGATGTCGGGGTTGCACAGCTTTGCTTTCAGCTCTGAGGTTCAAACACCTAATTTATTATATTAAGCAGTGGATGCATCCCAATTTGGTGTTGCCTTTGGCACCAATGCGCCACCACGGGCCGGCTCTCGGACTCAACCACCCCACCACGTTTGGCACCGAGCCTACCAAACCTCAACCAAGTGGGAGTCCTATCGCGGTGACAGCAAGAAAGGTCTCGACTGCCTCAAAGAAAACGTCAACTCGGCCCTCGTTCTTCTCCAGGCCGAGCCCTTGCTGCATATGGCCACCCTCGATCTAGAGGGCTGCACCGCCGCTGGTATCCAGGATATTTATGGCGACATTTCTTCCGACCTGGACTACCTCATCTACGTCAACGACATCATGGTTGACTGGATCTTACCGTGCTTGAGAGGTGACCTTGCCTCTCGGTTTCAGCGCGAAAAATCACGCCAACGCATCGTCTTG